GGTCGACCAAGACGGAGCTGTCCGTTTGCCAAACGCCCCCTATGCGCGGCACCGATATTGGCTCTGTCCCCGTTGCCATGCCTTTTCAGATGCAGAGCTGGATGGAGATTGCGGCCTCTGAGGCTCTGACTGCTTGCTCTCGACGGAAGCGCAGCTGGTAAAGACCTGAGACGGGTCCGGGTCGTTGAACAGGCCTCGAGAGATGATGAGGCTCAGTGGGTGTTGAGAAGCGCTGTCAGCGGCAAGCCCGTCGTCTGAAATTAGAAAGGACCCTTAGCCCAGACGGGCGAGGCAGAGGCGGACGGAGAGGCCTGATCCGGCGGTGTCCAAACTCCGACACGCCAGCCCTCCACCGCCAGGCTTCCACACATTTTTCTGCTGGCGATGTCTGTGGCAAATCCAAGTCACCAGTTCAATATTTGTGAATACCGCGCTGCTGGACCAGAGACGGTGGCATGGTCGGAGGACGAGTTGCTGTTGGCGCCGGTACCGAGAGCGCTGAGCTGAGAAGCTTAGATTGGATCCCATGTGGGCGATCAATAGTTGATCCAGGACCAGAGTCGAAGAGCGGGAGAAGGCGCCCGTCGGGGTCGACGTCGCCGGTACTGAGCAGCCCAGCCAGATCAATCGCGACATGCGCGGCTACACAACCAAGCGTGGGGCCTCGTGGCGGCATTCTCGCGTGCCGAGTGGTGGAATCGAAGCCAAGGCGACGGTAATTCCATCGAGACATGGTCCTCGCTCGCCTTCCCGCTCAGCCCTTGTCCCGTCGCGCGATACGAGCCAGTGGATGGGGGGCACTGGAGGGACCGTTTTCGAGGCCGGTTCTCTGTCTGTCGCCGTCGAGGTCACGGTGAGCGGTGTATCCCCGATAAGCCTCCGTCAATTGTCCGGATCATGTTCGTCGTCGTCGTCGTCACGTCTTCCCGACAGCCCAAGTCGAAACATGGCGGGGATCGGGCCATGTCGACACGGCTGGGAATCACTGGGAAGGCCATCGCTTCGTCTGAAAAATGTTTCGTTTCTTCGCTTCTGCGGGCCCCTGGACAGAAGCAGGAACACGGAAAGAGCCGACACTCAGCTGTGGCCTGTGCGTCTGACAGCGGCCAGTGCGCTGCACACATGCGCTGGAGGTCTGATGCTGGGGCTGTTTTCCAAAACCTCGATTGAATTTTCCATCCTCCTTCAGACATTCCTGAACACACAACCTGCAATCTATCCCGGACGATGAGTACCACGCTTGAAACGAGGAAACATCCAACGACGATCACTCGAAACAATCACCTTGCAGGCCATGCACCCCGCGGAATGGATCTGCAGATTCTCCCGTGCCCCCCCCAGACTCGGGCCTCTGGAGCACGGTCGCTCGTTGGGGGCCTCGAGCCCTACAAGCCAGGCCGTCTCCAGCGCTGACCCAGCACTTTGTCAGGCTGGTCGGTGCCCCAGAGCCAAGCCTGGGGATCGTCAGTCACCCAAGTCTCGGTAACTGGTGCTTTCCAGGTTGGCCATGGCATGCAACTCCAAAGATAGCATGTCGACATTGGGTAATCCCGTATTCCAGAAGCGTTCGTCCCATCTTTCAGATCGACGTCCATGTGCGTCTGCGGCGAACCCGCCAGGCACAGCTGCTCACAGCCCGCCCCGAGAGCCTCAGCAACCTAAACACCCACGAATCGCTGCGGCATGAGCTTCCAACATTCTGGGTTCTGACGGCCGCTCCCAAAGTTTGGTCATGGCTTGCTCCTGGGCCGTTCGGGACATCGGCAGCCGGGACCAAACCGGAGGCTGAGCACCGACAACCGCGAACTCTGCTGACGGCATGGACTGCGTATCACCTTTTACCGTGGGAGTAGCTCGTACATACTGACTGCGGTCCTGAAATTAGCTGTCTGAGCTCATCCGTCATTGCAGCAAACACATGACATGTCACTGTCTCTAGATACCACGACAAAAGTCGGCAAGCCGCGGGGCGTGTGTTGGTAGCACCGCACGTGGAGAAGTCAAACCGCTGGTCGAGCTGCAGGCGAGCCCCTATTCGGCCCCTATTCGGTCTCCGGAAGCTCGAAAACAGCCACCAACACAACGCAGCAAAGACAACTCTGGGAATGCGATATCACCGCCGGCACAGTATCCCGGTGTTGGTATCCGATTCCTTCGCCATACCGCCTTGCCACCAACACTGCCGAATTCCCCCTGTGTTGTTTCGGATCCTCCCCCCTGATCGTCCCTGAAAAGCCCCGACGGGGGGCACTGGCAAAATCTAGACTCGGCATCCTCCACAAGGCTGAGCGGACGGACACGCCATCGCGGGGGTCGCACGGTCAACAACATGCGCTCCATCGTCGCATTGAGAAAAAGGGCATCCGCCTCTCCCCCTATTTTTCAGGTTTCAACAACTGAGTCCACTGCGCGCGATGCTGCTACACTTGGACCTCAGCTCCAGTCACAATACACCGGCACTGCAGCTTTATCCTCTGCCACTGTGGCGCTCGGGCGCCGATAGTTTTCTGCCGGGCCGGAGACCACGGACCCCGGAGTCACGCGATCCGGGACGACCGGAGGGCGACAGAAGGCTCTGCTCGTCCTCTCGACTCCAAGTCCCGCCCATGGACAGACGCGGCCGATGCTCAAAACGGAGACAAACGGCTGTCTGTTGGTCGGCTGTCAGAGCACAGTGGAGTCTCGCTCGCCTGTGCGGCCCAATGCAACGGTCAACATGCACGCTATGGCCATGCCACCTCAATCCAGCAGGTCACGGCCGGTCGGCGAAGAGCGCACCCAACGCCGACGGACTGGATTCCTGGACCAAATCTCTCGACCCGGCCGTCGTGCCATCAATCTCCACATGGGTATCTGCAGTCTGCAACAAACCTTGCGCACCTCGCCAATATTCCAATATCGGCGTGGCGTCCCAATGGCTGCGCATATTGAATCGCGGGTCCGTGGCGTGAGTCGGGCCAATGGTCGACGGCTTGACGTTGAACGGGCGCTTACAAGCGCGAAGGATGCATGTTAACGTTGCCTTGAGCCGACGTAGCGCAGACAACCGCATCTCCGTCGAGACACCCGAGATGCCTGCTTCGTTGCTGCTTTGCGTGTTGGTTGAGTGCTGCTTTCCCCGCTCGCCGAGCCATTGTCCCGCAGAAGAAACTTGCAGCAGCATCCGGATCCTGTGCGGCGGTGAGGCCTGACATCGGCCGCCCGTGAGACCTCCAAGAAGCAACCAAGACCGGGCTTGCTCGACTTGGGCATCGCGCCGTCAGCAGACGCGCAGATCGCTGCGGACGTGGCGGCGGTGCAAGCCAGACATTCGCTCGTTGGCGCGACCGCGCAGGACTGCCGCCGTTGCCGACCAACAACCCAACCATTACGCGACACAAGCGACTGCATGCGTTGCCCTCCGTCTTGCTGACATCGCATCTTGTCAGTATTTCCACTTTGCACATGGATCCACGAGTCCTTGCGGTAGTGCTGCCGAGGACACACGGCAGCTCGTGGTTGTGGCCAAGCGAGCGGTCGACCTTCACATGACGTGCGACTTCTGCGGTGGGCTGGAGAGAATGCCTCGGAGGTATGCAGTTGGTTCTCGCGGGGCGCAAGCTACCGTGCAAACCGATAGCTGTCGACTCGACTCACTCGAGCAGGATGGAATGGTTAGCCCAATCATCCCGAAGCCGATGTCTGCCTACGTTAAAGTCAATATACGCCAATAAACGCTGACCATTCATTGCCAGCGGTGATGCGCCGGCGATGGTGTTCCTCTGTGCACTCGAGCCACTCTCGAATGGCGAAATATCGACGGCGTGGATGAGCTCCACGGCTACCAAAACATCAGAGCCCCATCAACCTCTCAGCCACCTATTGCACACGGTTTGGCTTTTCTCTCCACCAGACAGGACGCGCCAGGAACAAGATGGCCCCCAGGAGACCGCCACGCAGCATGGTGGATGGATGCCGCTTGCTTGACAACCGAGACACGGAGCGAAGCAAGCCCGGTTTTCCAAACGTAAGTATAGCCAGGAAATCTGTCATCCCGACGGCGTGGATTGACGGGCAATTCGACAAGCAAATGCCAGGTGTCATTTTTGATGTTGCAGACGGGGCAGTGCGGCGATACTGTCCACCGTGCAGTCCAAACCAGCCGCCGCGATAAGTTGTGGGAATGACTCCTGTGTATGGGGGCATTCCTTACTGTCATGATTGCAGAATGCAATTTGGAGCAATCCCATGCCTCCCCCCCCCTCTCCCCATTTTTGGACAGGGTGTACGGTGAGGGCGCGGACTTTTGCCGGGACGATTCTGCCTGACAGCAACGGCGGATTAGCCTAGGTTTGATCCTGCCCTTCCTTCTTCATTGGGCAGGCATCGCCGTCCTGGCCAGGATCAGGTCCTGGACGGGCCTGGCTTGGCCTCGTTGGATCCGGATCATGGACTGGGACGAATTGTTATCGGCAGTGTGCGGCAGGCCGTTGTGTTGCACAGTCCACACGTCCCAGGCTGTCGGTATGGTGCGTAGCGCGGCGTCAGGCGCTTCGCGCTTGTTGCGATGGCCACTTGACCGTCCCTTTCTTGTCCGGAGCTGGTGTCGAGGAGCTCTACTTGCACTGGGCTGTCGGACTGGTATGGTCGCCGTCGTGGCCGCATTGGCAGCCACCAACTTACACCTCGCTGACATGGCCACGCACCCTTATCAGTCGACATCATCATCGACTCCGGCAGGGATGAGTCGGACGGCTCTAAGAAGCTGGAATAGGGGCGCCAGTTGCGCGCGCAGCCGGGCTGTTGGTGGCGTCAATGCGGCAGCAACATGGACGACGTCGACCAGACAGACTCGACACGGAGTGCGGAGCATCATCACGGCCCCATCGCGCCAAGCCCGGGTTATATCCAAGGCCAACCGGCCCCATCCGACACTCCACCAACAACCTCCACCCCACGAGCAAAATAATGAATCCCGGTCTCGAGAGGGTATTACCCCATCGGACTTACGATACCTTCTATGGAGGAGCTGGGAATCGAACCCAGGACCTTTCGCAGACGTGGACGACTGCTAAGCGAACGCTCTACCAACTGAGCCACACCCCCTTGATAGTTGATGGGGAGAGGGGCTGGTGTTGCAGGTTGTGGGTGGGGTTGGGGAGGGGCTGAGGATGTATGTCTGAGATTCTGGTTGTTATGTTGGTATGGGGAGATTCTTGGGGCTGTCTTTCCTTGCTCTCCCGGGTATCGGGGGCTTGACGTGGTAAGAGAGGGACACCGTGCCGTCGACGGGGGGGTTGGGGGCTGTCTTGTGCTACGCATGAGACAGGGAGGAGACCATTGCCATTTTCTTCTTTTGCCGCATCTTGCACGGAAAGCTTGCGCTGGCGTCGAGGCTCGGCGCGACTGGGTCAAGTGGCATGAGAGATTATGTTTGTCGCGTGAGATTGTAGGGAAGGATGATGGCCCGCTGGTCATCCCTGGTGGTAGGAAAAGCATGAAAGGCATTGCGTAACCACGAGCATCCATCTTGATACGTTGGTGATCTTAAAAGGTGTCGTTTGGCGGCCTGGGATGCGGCCGATGGGGCTGTTGGCGATGGTCAGTGTTGACACATCAAACATCTCCGATCAAGGGCTGGGAGAGGTGTGTTGGGTGGTTAGGTTGACCGGCGCTCCTGTCGGCCACCTGGTGCTTGCTGTTGAGGATGAGGGCTCCTGAGAACCCCTTGGGTCTCATCGAGAAAAGACCACTCCGACATAACCCGCTGTCCAGTCAGCAACAACCACATACGGCCATAGATGGTGGAGAACTCGGGATCCCGTCCGCTCTCCCATAGATAAGCCACCAATCGCCTGACTAGTAGTTGGGTCGGTGACGACCAGCGAATCCCAGGTGCTGTATGTTTTTTTGCTGGCTGTGTAATCTGTGATCACTCAGGGGTTGTGAAGGGCCACTGGGCCTCGGCGTCAGTAGACGACAGCGGTGATGGCGGCATGTTTGGCGGCGAGTTCCAGATTGTCGACCGTGACCCTATCTGCAAATCTCCTCGCGGATCATCTATTCTCGTATACATACCACATTACATCGACCGTCTATCTCGCCTGTATTACGCCTGCACTAGATCAACCCAACGGAAACCTCCCCATAGCACCGTCCTCCCCCCCATCAAACAGCGAATTCGTCTGGTCCAGCGCGTGAAAGTGCTTCGCCAGCACCAACCCCCTCCGCCGCTCCCTCTCCACCCGCTTCCAGTCCCACTGCTCCCTCTCGTCCACCTCCCCCAGCTCTTCCCCCCCGCCCGTCTCGTCCTCCCCCCCGCGCCACCCCTCCCCAGGCCGCTCCGGCAGCACCCCGGCCGCCTCAAACACAATCGCCGGATGCACCGTGAACCGCCCCAGCTTGAACACGTACTTGGACACGGCCGTCGCGCACACATACTTGCTCATCTCCTCCTCCGCGACCTCCCTCCCGTCCTCAGCCCTCACCACCCGCTCGCGCGTCGCCCCCCCGGACCGCCCATCCCACCCCGTCGGCCTGACCAGCCCGGCCGGCACAAAGTGCGTGACAATGTACATCCACTTCCGATCCCACGACAACACCCGGCTCCACATCTCGTACCGCCGCAGCGGCGCGAGCTCCCGCCGAAACGAGCAAAACACAGCGCCCAGACCGATGCCGACGGACCCGGGTACGGGGTTGCCGGCGCGGTCGCGCACCAGGCCGGGGAGCCGCGGGACGGCGGCGCCGAGCAGGTGCGTGACGAGGTGGGAGCGCGAGACGTCGACGTCGGCGAAGTAAGTCGAGTTGGACTTGTGGAGGTTGTAGTCGGTCTCGAGGGGGGTGGTGTAGGACGTGGTGATGGCGTAGTGGAAGAGGGCGCGCGGGGGGAGGGGGGGGCGCGGGCGGGCGTAGTGGTAGGTGAAGGAGGAGAGTATGCGGAACTACCCGGCGGGTGGGGGGGTTAGTTGGGGGGAGGGGAGGGGGGGAGGGGGGGACGTACGGTCCAGCCGAGGGGGAGGGACTTCCAGTTGAGCGCGAGGAAGATGACGAGGAGGATGCGGCTAGTGCGGCCGGGGCCGGAGAGAAACTCCTTGAGCCAGGACTTCCAGTCGAAGTGGAGGGCCCAGTGGCCGGCATAGGCGAGGCCGGCGAGCGTCGTGGGGATGCCGATGGGCAGCAGGAGGTTGAGGTTCCCTACGCGCCCCATGATGTCCTTATTCTTTGGCGTGTTGGTTGCGCCGCGGGGAGAAGAGTCGGTTCCGGAGGGCGCCAGAGACGAGCACGACGAAAACGACGATCCAGAGGGGGAGGTTCCGCGCGAGACAAAAGAGCGTAGTACCGCACTTTTGAGCCAGCGAGGCATTGGCGACGGCGGGGAGGGGCATCGCGCCGGCTCGCTCGGCGCACCAGGGGGCGCGCTGGATTTTGGAAGTGGGTGGAGTGCGCGTTTGACCGGTGGGGGCCGCGACGGGGACGGGGTCCGCATGGCGACAGTCGCCCCGATTGATGGGTCCCGCGATGGGATGGCGTGGATGGGGACGACGATGTGTTGGGGCCGAGGCTCAAGGTTTGGTGTTTGCCGAGGGAGCCGAGTGGGTGGGTTGGGGGCGTGACCCTAACCCGGGAGGAATCAATGCCGACGACGACGGCCCCCTCGGGGAATCTTTGAAAAGATTAAGCACTTGTCGAATATATCTTGCCCAAGGAGGAACAAACCCCACAAATCCAAACGGTTCAGACAGATCCCGTGAGCCTTGATGACATCTCAAGTCTGTCGGCCGTGCCAAGATTCTCATCCCGACATGATCAAGCCGTCAAGATCGAATCCAAATTTTCAAGATCGCCCCCCAACAGCCAAGGCTCCAAACCCGTGAACTCGTCCCGGCGGAGCCCGGTGGAGAAGGATTCCCGGGCCTTGCGGATTCCGCCGACAGCATCACTCCCCTGGCCAATCGCCTGCCTCGTCCCCGGCATCGAGACGCGAACCTCGGCAGTGTCGCAGACCCCACCGGCCCGACACCTTAATCCCACCTCGCCCTTTATCTGGGCCTGAGGCGCGTCCCCATCAGCGCCGCGTCTGCGAGAGACAGTCTTTTCAACAACTTAACTGACTTCACCCCCATCTTCACCAACGTCACCACCACCTCCACCCCCAGCCGCCACCATGCCCCCCCAACACCCCCCCCTCACCGACCCCCACCCCGAAGTCGCGCACTTCCTCTCCCTCCCCTGGTGCCGCCACCTCCTCACCGCCTCCCCCACCCTCACTATCCACCCCTGCATCACCCGCACCCCCAAGCCGCACCACGAAGAAGCCCTCATGGCCACCACCCTCAACTCGCCCCGCACCATCTCCGCCTTTGTCCTCTTTTACGAACCACCACCCCCCACCACCACCGGCACCCCCGGGATGCTCACATCCCTCTCGGCCCTCCTGACTCTCGGCCCCCTCCTTAACGGCTGGCGCGGCCTCTGCCACGGCGGCGCCATCATGACGGTGCTGGACGAGGTGCTGGGGCAGATTCCCGCGCTGAACCGGGCGAGCGGGGCGCTGCCGGACCGGACGACGCTGACGGCGTACTTGAACACGCGGTTTGAGGCGCCGGTGCGGACGGATGAGGATGTTGGGGGAAAGACGGTGGTGGTGCGGGCGCGGCTGACGAGGCGGGAGGGGAGGAAGATGTGGATTGAGGGGGCGATGGAGGAGGAGGGGGGGAGGGTGCTGGCACGGGCGGAGGCGCTGTTTGTACAGATTAAGGAGAAGCTGTAGGGGGGGTGAGGAGAGGTTGTAGAGGGGATTGAGGAGATGTTGTAGGGGAGGTTAGAGAGAGGTTGTAGGAGTTGAGGGGGTTGAGCATGAACGGGTTTCGGCAGCATGGGCGCTTGCATCGGAGTGAGAGGGGGGATAGACGGAGTTAGAAATAGCATTTGCATTGTATAGTATACCCTTGAGGAGAAACTAATTGGGCAACTGGCCTTGACACACTCCCCACGCTCAAAGCCGAATGACCACCTTCCCGACATGCTTGCCCGACCATAGATAGTCAAACGCCGCCTCGGCCTCGTCAATCGAAAACACCCGCTCGTCCACCAGCGGCGCCAGCGACACCTTGTTCTCCTCGAAAAACCTATTGAGCGCGACAAAGTCGTCCCTCGACCCAACCGTGATGCCCTGCAACCTCGCCGTCTTGCCAATCAGCCCCAGCAGCAGCCCCGGGTTCCAGTCCGCCGTCACACCCTCCAGGAACCCTACAATCGAAATCGTCCCGTAATACGGCACCAGCGACTCCAAGTCGGCCGGAATCCCCGCCGGCCCGTTATTGTTGACGACAATGTCCACCCCCTCACCCCCCGTCAGCCGCTTCACCTCGGCCACCTGGTCCGGCTTCGCGCGGTAGTTGTAACCCTTTAGGTCCGGCCGCCCGAGCTTGGCGCGGAGCGCGTCGAGCTTGGCGTCCGACGACGACGTAATGATGGGGTCCAGGCCCGCCGCGAGCGCGATGATGAGCGCGAACAGGCTGACGCCTCCAGTGCCCTGGATCAGGACTCTCCTGCCCTTGCCAAAGGCGCCGGGCGCGCCGAGGGCGTTCCACGCCGTCACGCCGGCGCAGGCCACGGTGGCCGCCTTTTTGCGGTCAGCGTCACAGGAAGATCAGTTGGACGGGGGGGGGTGGGTTACCTCTTCCCAGGACATTTGCGCGGGGATCCTGACGAGCACCTTGTCTTGAAACACGACGTACTCGCGCAGCACGCCGTCCACCTCGCCGCCGAGACCGAGGTGGCCGGTGGGCTCAATCTCGCCCGTCAGGTTGCCAATGTCCATCTGCGGGGAGACACGGTCGCCCACGGCGAAGGCCGTCACGGCAGAGCCGACGGCGACCACCTCGGCGGCGCAGTCCGACGCAACGATGCCGCCGTCGACGAGATTGCTTGGGTAGAGCCCGCGGAGCATCAGCACGTCGCGGCTAGGGGTATCAGTCGGACGGACTTGAGGGGGGGGGGGCAGCATACTAGTTGAGCGAGACGGCGTGGATCTTGATGAGTACCTCATGCGGTCCAAGGCCGCCGGAGGGAAGGGTTCTCTCGGTCGTTGCATAGACCTT